TAATATAGAGAATTTCAAAACATACGACCTTTTTATCTGCCCCTCAAAATACGCTACGAAAATCTGTCTACCAGAAACCTTAAGAAACTGTAAATCCACTTCGAAACAATAAGTAATTAAATGTCAATTATACTTTACTGTTTATTAATTAATTAAATTATTTAATAAACAGTTTAAAGTACTTTAAACTTAGGTTCGGATTATATTTCACAAGTTTTAAGCCAAAAGTTTTAATACTTGGAGTACGCGAACGAATCTGGTTTTAAAAACTTTTTAGTTTGAACCTCTTCAGTACTGTCACAGTATTTTCATCTTGACGTTTCATTATGAGTTTTGAAATAAGAAGATGGTAAGGGGGGAAGTTTTTAATGGGGGAACATCATCGTATGGCTGCTTCCGCCTGGGTGAGGCGGGAGAGAGTGTCAGACTCTTACTGACTAAAAACCACTCCGTTCCCACTTCGAGCCGGAGTGCCGGCGATCCGTTAAGTCTTCCGCGGCTCCGTATCGGTATCAGCCCTATTGGGCCCCATCTGTGGTGGTCTGATGGCACCGCTTGAGGCGCGTCGCGCGCGGAACGCGACGCGCCGTACGCTCGGGTCTGGCTTTGATCCAAACTATACTAGTCCTGGAGATGCTGATCACCTAACAGGATACCGGGACTCCAGCTCGAACCAGGAGTCGAGAACGGGGTCGTTTTTAGTCAGTAAGAGTCTGACACTCCCTCCCTCCTCATCTCTCTCTCTTTTATGATTGCTATTATGCTCTGTTGCCGTTTTGCACGGAGTTTTTCAATGTACCTAAACTTTGATTTTTTTACAAGATTCTCTAATTGACCATATGAGCCTAGAAACAGATTAATAGTTCTTGCAAAAATATAGGTGACAGTTGGGTTATTCATAAAATATGTGCGTTAATGTGTATCTTTTCGGGGAATAACTGTGATTCATTTATGAACACTGAAGAAAAATGTCTATAAAGAATGATGATACAAAAGATCTAATAAAAGATTTTTGGAATGCAAATTTTGTTCACGGTTTTAAACCTAATATCTGAAATGAGGGATTCACATAATTGGTCACGATCGATTTAACTTTTGAAGCAAAAACCACAAACAAAATATTCTTTAAGGAAAATCGTTTATTAAAATACGATCCATCTCCTAACCTATTCACTTATTTTGGCTTACATAAGATTTTCGCGTGACCCTTGTACCTTCGTAATAAGGGTCACATTCGCATGTAAACGTTCACAGAATCGGACCTTTCTGGCTTTTGTAGAAGATTTTTATCATGACGTTAAAGGTTTTTTTATTTAGTACGATACCGTAACGTCCAGTGTAAATAGGTACATTTGAATTGAAAATTGCTTTGAATATGGACTTTATACGGTTGGGAATTGTGTTTTTATTAAATGTATTGGAGGTCTAGTTATGATGGTCGGTGACTAAGATATTTTTATACAAGCTTTTTGTCAAAGAAAAGGCTTAGATGTTTCCTTTCGTGATAATGTTCTGAGATGGTGTGATGGGAAGAGGCTGGTATTAATTTGTAGGAAAATGGACCTAGTGACGGGAAATGCTTGGAAAGGCTTTTCTATACGAACGGTTTGAAAGATATTAGAGCCCTTTGAGGCGTTATTGGCTTGGTGGGGCGGTAGAAAGCTATTTTACCGGAACATTATTTTTAATGTTTACGCAAAATTGAATGTAGTTTTGTTGGTGTAAGTTTTGGAACATAAACATACCATCGGCGATAACCATTCTATTCCTGTGGCAGAGTAGAATACATATTTTGACGCCACTCCGATTCTTCTCGACATTCTTTTAAAAAAGACATAATATGCTGGCACAGCGTCTCTGATAAACCTAAGAGCTCGTACACAAAACTGCGTTGTGACGTCGCATCACAAAAATGTGCGAGCTCCCTCTACGCATCTTCCCAAAATCCTCATTGTTTCTTTTTCCTGTACCTCCTAAGCAATGACATATGTGCACGCTTCTTTTTACGATCCATGTTACGATTTAGTTTTCAATTTAAAATACGTTTAGTACGGTTGACAGTCGTCGAAGGAATGGTCACCCTGGGAGACGCCTTGTCGCGTGAAATTGCATCGCACCAATTCGCATCGTAATATTTTGCGTTGCGAATTCGCATCGCATGACATCGCAGTTTTGTGTACGAGCCCTAATTAGTCTGTAATCCGCAGTCTCATTTCAATTATTTTAATCTCAGAGCCGTATGCCCGTAGAGGAGGCTCATAATTCTACGGTGAACCTTCTTGGTCTGTTCATGATCATCGCCCTGTCTTCACACTTTAGTTTTAAGTGTAGAAGAGCCATGCTTCGGCACGAATGGACCGGCTCGACCGGAGTGATACCACGGCCTCACAGAAGACCGACGTGAAACGACGCTTGCAATGTGTTTCGTCGCGTGTGTGAGGTTACAGGAGGCCCAATTCCCCCCCCCCCCCATTCCCAATCCCTGAACCCGAAACAATCCTCAAATTCCTAATCCCAAAAGGCCGGTAAGACACTTGTAACGCCTCTGGTGTTTCAGGTGTCCATGGGCAACGCCGATTGCTTACCATCAGGTGATCCGTCACCTCGTTTACCGGCTTCTCCAATAAAAAAAACAGAACTAATAAAACCTAATAATATGAGTATCAAATAGTTGTATTTAAACACGAATACCTAACATAATAAAAAGTAACAATAAATATGATAATAGTATAAAGTGTTCATATAAATAAACTCTTACAATTATCTCATGTTGCGTTTAGAGGAATCCCCTTTGCCGTATGATAAAACTGTGACCTCAACTGACCCCAGTCCAATTAATCAAGACTTCAAAGTTATTGAAATAGAGCTAGTATTTATCAGTCAATAAAGTATGTCATAAAAATTAAAATAAATGCATTTTTACGGGGATTTTTGCAAGATTGACACACATCAGCCTATAAGTGGCCACTGCTGACTAAAGGCGTGTTCTCACACGGACAAGGTATGAGCAATAATCACCACGCTTACTCAAAGCGGGGTGGTTATTTCAAATTTAACATTGGAAATTATAAGCCTAGGTTTCTTCACCATGTTTTCCTTCATCGTGTGTGTCAGTGGCGTCTAGATAATCTTAGAAAGTACATATAACTCGGAAAAAGTCACATTGGTACTTGTCGTTGGTAGGTTTCGAACCAGCGCCCTCATACATGAGAAGCGAGCATCTTAAACCTCCGGGCCACCACGGCAGTAGGGTAGTATCCTAAATTTTATTTTAATATCTATCTGGTAGGTTATTTTAAAACATTAAACACGTATTTTTTCTTTTTTTACAAAACTAAATACATATATTGATTTGAAATATGGTGTGACGTCACGATTTACTACATTTTATAGGGACGTAGCGAACTCCAACTCCTAAACTTAACTCTGTTTTGTCTACGTATTGTTTTCTTATACGACATTTTAAAAATAAATATATTTTTTTAATGGAACAAGCCCGCCATATCCTCCCAAAACCGCTGCAACTCCTGTAAGCCAAGATCTACAGTAGCTATACAACCACGAAAACACCGGAACACTGAAGTCCAGCGCGTCCCAGCGACATGAATAACCTGTCTTGGTTCCCGCAACGAAGTGAATCAGAAGATATTATAAGAGGAGAAGAAAAAAAACGTCAGTTTCCACTTACCTCGGTGAATTACTGCAGGAGACAGAATGAATTAAGCCTAAAGGCACAAAGAAGAGACTGTAGGTACAACTGGGTGAAGTCCAGTCTCCAAGCACCACGGAAATTTGACTAAAATCTAAGTGGGTTCTATATGTGAGCTAATACTTGCTTCCAATAATAGGTATGGCAAAAGCGCCAAAAATATATGTGTAATGTTTTTTCATTATCTAACTGACGTACGAATTACATTTTATTTTTCATACACTGTGTTCCTTATCCTATTATCAGTTCTTCCTACTATTAAACAAAGAAAGCAGGGATAATAAAGAAACATACTTAGATACAATAAATCAGTATTTATTTCTTAATAATATTTACAAGCTTAATTCAAATTTTAAATGCAATACAATACACAACGTTTCTAATAATAATATTTGGCAATAATACTTCAATTGTATAAACTATAAATGCATCAAACTGAAATGAACCTTAAATCTAAGTTCTAAAATAAGATTGACATTCGAATAACGACTTTCGTTTATATAAAATTAAGAATTCTGAACACCATCATAGCAATTTCACCAGTACTTTGATTAAAATAAAGTATTTAATCAATTGGCATGTAATGTAATGAGGAAGGATGAATTTAGTCGCGGCTAAACAGAAAGAAAGAATTCGATAATAGAATAGACTGAATGATAAGACGATGAAGTGACAACCTTAAGTCAATTGGGATAACGACAAAATTCGGTTGCTAACTCATAAAACAGATCTTTAACAGATTTTCAACTGTATAAGAAAAGCATAACCCTCAAAATCTAATAAAGATACTGACTTAGCAACCATTCCTTGTCTTCTAAGCCACAAAGTTTGATTAAAAGAATTTTCTTAAAGTAAATCCATTGGACGGCTCCCATCTTGAATTCGGCATAAAGGGTGATACAGACTTGCTCAAACCAGCGTTGAAGTCCAGTGATGTGCCTTTGTTTCTGAATAAGTTGACTATCCCATTGGCGGAGTAATCTGTTCTTTGCAAAAATGGCGTGTGAGCGACTCCCAAAGATCCACCGACTTTGTTCCTGTAATAAAATCGAGATTTTAGAATCTTGTGGTAGTTTGGAGGTCAAGAGTGTTTACAAACATATTAGTTCCTAATTATAAAAATAACTACTGATTTTAATGTAAATGCTTAATATATCGAGTCCCAAATAGTTGAAAACAATCCAAATATGAGCTGACAGAGATACAAAGACAATTTTAAGTTCTAACATACTTTGGATCTCGTCAAAATTCATATTTAAATTACATTTCAAAAACATTTTCTTCTGACTATTTAGACCTTAATAACAGTGAACTCTGAGGCCTTTCTTAACACTGTACTTAGATCGATCATCAACTCTTCATAAGCAATGGTGCTATTGGCATAAAAGAAAAAGAAGAAGAAAGAGAAAGAGTGCCATAGTCCTACTTCTCATATGGTATGAGCTGGTAAACCAGCAGTCGGATCACTGATGATAAGTAATCGGCGTCGCCCATTGACACCTAAAATACCAGAGCCGTTAAAAGTGCGTTACCAACCTTTTGGGAATTGGAAATTTGAGGATTGGGGGAGATTTGGAGACTGGGGAGAGGGAAATTAGGCCTAACCTAACTAACACAACGCGAGTTGTTTCACGTTTGTGCTCCAGTGAGGCTATAGAGTATAGCTCCAGTCGAGCCGACCCATTCACACCGAAATATGGCTCTTGCACACTTAACCTCTCGCGCGCCTCTCGTACACACGGGTAAACGCGCGTTCTCGTACACACGGGTAAATATTTTAATAGAAAAACGAATTAACTATATTGTTCAATCAAATAAAGAACGGGTTGCAAACTTGAAAATGTACGTCACAGAAAAAATATTCAATCGGTGCGCGTTTCTCGTACACCCGTGTGTACAATTGCGCGATGGGCATTCAACTCTCTCGTACACCCGTGTGTACGAGAAACATGCGAAAGGTTGAAAACTACTATTAACCTCTTAATCCAGGTTAAAATTGGGTAGAACAGCTACTTACTTAAACATATAATCCAGTCCACCGCCAACAGTATTGAAGTTAGGCACTTGTGGAATGGTTGGCATATTCCTTGAGAGAAAGGCATTGGCTGTTAGGTCATGGTTCTGATTGTGGAAGAGGTTCGCGTGACCAGCAGCTGTGATCCTGTTGCCGAAGTTAGGGATTCGAGTGTTGGTAAGGGAGAGTCCATGTCCAGCCCTGGAATTAGTAGAAAGGTAATTTTTAAATTGGTCTTTTTTTCTGCCTCGTTGGCCAAGTGGTCGCATGTGCGACTGTCAGGCATGGGGTCTCGGGTTGGATTCCCGGGTCGGGCAACGTATTACTGGGTTTTTTAAAAAAAATCTCAGTAGTAGCACGGAGTCTGGAATTGTGCCCGGTATATGGCAATAGGCTCACCCCCTATTACGTGGGACTCATAACATAAATAGTGAAAAGTGGGTGTTACATTGTACAGTGGCATAATGTGCACCTCTGCCTATCCCTTTGGGAATAAAAAGGCGTGATGTTATGTATGACATATTTTTGATACTGAAGATTTTTAATAACAGTTAAAGAGGTATATGTCAAAGTTATAGACCTCTTTGAGTAGTTACTTGACATGTACTCACTACTACCGAGCTAGGGATTTCAACTTTTTTTATAATTTTTTTTCTAAAGTAAACTCAAGATGAAAGTAATGGCTACGAAACATTTAATATCACTTTACCAATAAGAAATATTCCATCTTTAAAGTAATATTTATTCTACCAAGCTTTACTCATCACACTGTCTATTAAGGATCTTCATTGTCCAAAAGAATAAATCTTGTTTTAAAAAAAAAACATTGCCCCACACTAGGATTTTCTCCTGTGTCGTGGGTGCGTTTACAAACACACCAGTTCACATATACAAGACACAAATTTGTGGATAACACAAAGAGTTGTTCCGTGTGGGAATCTAACCGCCACCGTGCCATCCGTGCAGCCAAATAAATAACTATTAGCCGATGATTTCAGTTTGACTGGATCACCAGATCTCTAGGAGTTGCTTTATATTTGAATAAAGTACCTAATCTAATTGTAATAAGTCTTATATTCAGTTACTCACGCATTATCCATGGCCAGACCATATGTTGCGGATGACAGATGTCTGTTGGCATCAAAGTTAGCTCCTCCAATAGCACTGAACACATTATTGTTGGTGGAAGCGAACGGTAACCTTGCGTTAAAACCTGCAAAAATAGCAAATTATATTTAGACTAAGGTAAACTGATTCATTCATGATGAGGTTTATTTTTAACCGACTTCATAATAAATACTTGCCCGACCCGGGAATTGAACCCGAGACCCCTTGCAGCAGTCACACTAGCGACCACTCGGCCAATGAGGCAGTCAGCATTACTGGGTTTTAAAAAAAATCTCAGTAGTAGCACGGAGTCTGGAAATGTGCCCGGTATATGGCAATAGGCTCACCCTCTATTACAAGGGACTCATAACATAAATAGTGATGAAAAGTGGGTGTTACATTGTACAGTGGCATTAAGTGACGTAAATGTATACCTCTGCCTATCCTTTCGGGGATAAAAGGCGCGATATTATGTCCAAATAAAAAAGGAGGTACTTAGTTTGTACATAAATACAGGTCGAACTGAGAGAGTATGTATGTATGTTTGTGGGGTTTTTAAAAAAGTGGATGTTACACTTAGCAGAAGGTATTAGTATATTAATTATCCGACCTAAAAAAAGAGGAGGGTTGAAGTTGGATTTTTTTAACGTAGTTATTAGACTTTTTAAACGTTGTTGATGATGATGATTGGAGTATTTCTCTTGTTCATCATCATCAACAGCCTATAAGTGCCACTGCTGAGCAAAGCCTCTTCTCACACGGAGAAGGTTTGAGCATTAATCACCACGCTTGCTCAATGCGGGTTGGCGATTACAAACTTACAATTAGAAATTATAAGCCCAGGTTTCCTCACGATGGTTTCCTTCACTGTTTGTCAGTGGTGTCTAGATAATCTTTCTCTTGTTACTGGCGCAAAGCTATGTTTCTAAGGGTGGAGGATCTTCAAGAGCACTAGACATCGAACTTCTTTTCCGTATATTGAAGAGGCCTATGTTCCGTAGTGAACGGGAATATGCTACAGATGACAAAGAAGGGTGCACCAAGGCCCACCACTGATGTTACAATGAACAATAAAACTCAAACTCAAACTCAAACTAAAAAGCATTTATTTCAATTAAACCATAATTTGGTACTTTTACTTTAGTACCTTATTTGATTGTCAATTTGATGTTCGTTTACGACTATTTTTTACATAAACTTTTTATATCAAACATTTTGAACGAATTCAGCGTAGTAGTAAACTTATGGGTAGACATAGGTTTTAAAGTGATACAGACAAATGGACAGAGTTGATTTCGCATTTGTAGATAGATAATATTAGATATATTAAATACTATTTAATGTAATATTATTACGATTACTTTTGAAGTCGAATTATTTATAGTACATACTATGTATATGTAGGTATATGTATATATACTTACACATTTTTGCTTAGTTTTGTTTATATCTGGAACTTTATAATGACGTCCATAACGAGTAACCGGGGCTCCGGCTCGACGTGCAGGAGAAGGAACGGGGTGGTTTTTAGTCAGTAAGAGTCTGACACTCCCTCCCGCCTCACCCAAGTGGGAGCAGTCATTCGATGATTATCCCCTCTTAAAAAAAAATTTTTTTTTTAAAGTTTTGTGGGTGCCGTTACAAACATACAAGTTCACATACACATGACACCTAGACTCGGAACAATAATGTGTTGATCATACAAAGAGTTAATACGCGCGGGAATCGAACCCGCTACACGTTGCACGCCAGCCGGTTGCCCAGCCACCACGCCAAACGAACAGTCAATATTACAAATGGACTCTCGGTTCATTCTATTTTAATAGTTTTAATACTGGATGAGTGACAACGATTAGTATTTTGTGTAGGTACTGTAAAGGAGGCTATACACACTAGGTTATGCATGATGGTTATAACTTTACATGCAAAACCGACAAGCATAACAAAGATTCATACCACGCATCCGTTAGGTTTTGCTTGTACATGTACCGATAACTGTACAGTTTAATCACATACACGCTGAGCTTGCCTGTCGGTTATGCATGCACGGCTAAAACCATCATGCAAACCTAGCGTGTATGGCCTCCTTAACAGCTGGGCTACTGTAGGTACCTTTTTTTTGTTGACGGCGGAAACCTTCAATAGGCGCCTAGCTTTTTGGGGGAAAAAAGACTAGGAAGTGTGGGATTTTTACCTCACTAAAACCTCCGCGGTGGCCACCATCCGCATCTGAAGGAGGCACCGGGACCTTTTAGTAGACCAACCCCGGAGAGGCTACTGTACCTACCTAACTTTCAATTCGAAAGACAAAACCGAACCTAAGTGCGGTCCGTCATTGGTCATGACATTAGTTGGGAAAATAATCTCGACCAATGACTGACGAGAATAGGGTAGTTTCCAGAGTAAGAAAATTAAAAATCTAATTAGTCCGTCAGTTAGATAACAAAATAATATTAGACACGTATTTTTTATTTTCTCGTATAAAGTTTCAATACTTAAATAAAAGGGATATAAGTTTAGGAGTGGGAGGTAGTTACGTCACAACGTACTACATTTTGTAGCAAGCTTGTCACACGATATTTCTAATCAATATATCGTCGAAAGCATTTAATTTTGTTAGAAAAGAAAAGATCGAGCTCATTTTAAAAGTTCGAATTGACAGTTACAGAAAAGCCCAAGAGTGGACTGAATACGGTAACTCGTGACTCAAAACAGCCAAAAATCCAGACATTACACTAATCGTGCAAAAAAGCGTGCAAATAAAACTACGGGGAAGTACTACTCATTTCTGCATTAAAACAAAAGTACTGAAGTCCTACAGGAAAATTATAAACTTAATTGTTTTTATTGAATTAACAAATTGTGGTTAACCTCATTGATATGTGGTAATTAGAAGCGTTTGTTAAAATAAACCTAAGTACATAACTATCACTTGTAGTTCTTGACGGTGCGAAGTTAATATGTAAGTCCTCTTTTGTTTATAGCCGTGAGGTTGAGTAGAATATAAAGGCGTGTGGCCACATTTTTTTTATAGCATAAGCCGGTACTCGAACAGACGGATCACCTGATGGTAAGCAATCGGCGTCGTCCATGGACACCTGGAACACCAGAGGCGTTACAAATGCTTTACCGCCCTTTTGGGGATTAGGAGTTTGGGGATCGTTGGGGATTCAGGAATTGGGGAGATTGGGGAAGGGGAGGGTAATTGGGCCTCCGGTAACCTTACTCACACGAAACACAACGCAAGCGTTGCTTCACGTCGGTTTCCGTGAGGCCGTGGTATCACTCCGGTCGAGCCGGCCCATTCGTACCGAAGCATGGCTCTCCTACACTTATTCATCTGACGAATGTGCCGCGGCAAAGGTTTAGTGCTCAACTTGTACAAGGTTTGTATTGCTCGCGAGCTACCCATTCGCGAAGCATGCGCCAGATGTGGACGCACCCTTAGTTATTCACCATTTCTATTCTTCTTTGGGGTGTTGTATTATTGAATGTATTTAGTTTTTTTAAACTTTGCCCCACACTAGGATTTTCTCCTATGTCGTGGGTGCGTTGACAAACATACAATTTCCCATACACATGACATCATACCAGAAACAAGAACTTGTGCATCACACAAAGAGCGTGCGGGAATCGAATCAGCTACACGTTACACGGCAGCCTGATGCCCAACCACAGCACTAACCTTGCAGTCCAACTGGACAGCACCACACCATAAGCTGTGGATAGTGATAGGTTGATGATGATGATGGCAGAAGCAATCTCAGATGAACCCGCCTTCTAAGAGTGAAGATGTGCACCTCTTTCTATTCACTCGGGGATAACAAGGTTTGATATTAGATAACTGCCTCGTTGGCCGAGTCGTCGCAAGTGCGACTGCCGGGCAAGGGGTCGGGCAAAGTACTACTGGGTTTTTAAAACATTCTCAGTGGTAGCACGGAAGTCTGGAATTGCGCCCGGTATATGGCAATAGGATCACCCCCTATTACATGGGACTCATAACATAAATAGTGAAAAGTGGGTGTTACATTGTCCAGTGGCATTAAGTGCCGTAAAGTGCACCTTTGCCTACCCCTTAGGGGATAAAACGCGTGATGTTATGTTATGTCATGTGATATTATTTAACATTACTATTTTATCTAAAAATAAACCACAACATATTAATAATTACTCATATCAACGAACAAAACAAAACAAAACATAGATAAAAACAAAAGAAGACGGCACCGCTGCTTTATCTCAGTGAAGTCCCGCGCCCGAGACATTACACTATCAACTCCTTTACCGTATAAAAGTCCCAGAAACTTCATTGAAATTATCATTCGTGGTGTAGGAACACAGTAATCATGTACTCAGCTCTGCTCCTTACTGTCGTGGTGGTGGGCGTCGCAGCGTGGGAAACAACAAGTCCTGAACAGTATCTAGACGTGGGAGATTTCTACCAGTATCTTCATGAGCCGAGCCATCATAGGCAAACTAGACAGCTCCATGGAAATACTTTTTTCAATACTGATGGGACTTCAGGTAAGTTTTCGCTTTAATTTTTTTTGTAACCGGTAAACGAGCAGTCAGATCACCTGATGGTAAGCAATCGGTGCCGCCCATATACACCTGAAACACCAAGGCGTTACAAGTGCGTTACCGGCCTTTTGGGAATTGGGGATTTGAGGATTATGGAGAATTCGGGGATTGGGGAGATTAGGAGGGTGAGGGGGAGTAATTGAGTCTCCCATAAACTAACTCACAACGAAATACAACGCAATCGTTATTTCACATCAGTTTTCTGTGAGGCCGTGGTATCACTCCGGTCAAGAGCACGAAAAACCAGCATAACAAAACAATCCCACTTACCCTCCATTGCAATATCAATATAACATAACGGTTGAGTTAGATTAATCATTCAAACTGTAGGGTCCTAACTAGGTAAGTCTAATCATCGTACCACAAGACAATCGGTAGTCACCGATTCATGGTAGATGTCCCACCCACACGCATGAAGCGCTTCGCATCAAGCTTCCTTGTGCGAGCTGCTAAGCAGAGGAATTCTTGCCCAGAGTCTGTATTTCCTGAAGGATATAACCTGGGTGTCTTCAAGGCCCGAGTGAATAGGGTCGACGTGCTCCATCGTAGACCGCGTCATCGCTTACCACCAGGCGAGATAGTGGTCGAAGGTCAGCTCATCAAATATATGTATATAAAAAAATGTTCTCATTCCAGGTTTTGGATTATCAGCGCCATTCGGAACAAGCCAGAAGAATACGTTCAGTGCTACCGGAGGAGCTAACTTCGATGCCGCCAGTCGTCTACAATCTGCTTCCTATGGGCTCGCCATGAATAATGCGTAAGTGTTTGTAATTCTTCTTTATATTTAAAACTAGCAGCCCGTCCCTGCTTCGCACGGGGTAGACAATTATTTATTTTTGGAAATTTGGATTGTTGTAGTGACATAACTACAATAGTTGGACATATGCTACCGCCGAGTTTTTTGTAGACATTATGATGTTCTTCAAAATTGTTGTACATTATTTTGTTCTATCGCTAATAGATTCGGCAGCGCATTCGACGAAAGACATTTTAAGACTCATTTTTCTACACTTTCGGTTACATTGTTCAAATTGTACTAAGGATCCCTAATTTTTTTCAAAATGAAGGCTACAGCCTATGTCGAATTGGAAGAATGTAGCATTCTATTGGTGAAATATTTTTTTAAATCGGCCCAGTACTTTTGGAGCCTATTCATTACAAACATACAAAAATACAAAAATAGGTACAAATCTTTCCTCTTTATAATATTAGTATAGAAGTATAGATTTCAAAAGTGAGTTGAGACTGGTGAGCAGAAAGCTTTTGTTACTACCGCTCTACTCTTCCTACTATGCTACTCCTACTCCTACACTACTCTTCTTGCTGATAAAAATCACAAGTTAGAAGCTGGGTTGGACCGGTGCCGGTAATATGTGCTATGACTATAAGGGAGTTTACTTAGAACAGACACTGGTTAGCAGCGGTCGTTGAAAATCCTGAACCTTTAATTAATACCCGTCTGCCAAACTAGAGAATCCTCTTCCACAAACGAGTTGAGAGGTCGGTAATATAGCAGTATTTTGTTTATGATATAACACTAAGCAGATCAAGATGAAAGAAAAAGCTACGAAAAATTTAATATCACTTTACCAACTAAAGATCTTCAATTTCCAAAAGAGCATTTATTCTCACAAGCTTTACTCATCACACTGTCTATTAAAAATCTTCATTGTACAAAAGAATATATGTCGTTTTAATAAAAATGTTGCCCCACACTACGATTTTTTCCTGTATCGTGGCTGCGTTTAATTCAAATTCTTTATTGTGTTCCACAATGTTTTACTTAGGTGGTAACATAGAATAATACAGATCTTTGTGGCACAGCAAGGAAATATCTATTATAGAGGTATAAAAATAAGTCGGATTTTCCTTCCTGACGCTATAACTCCAGAACGCACGAACCGATATCCACGGTTTTTCATTCGTTGGAAAGGTCTCGTGCTCCGTGAGGTTTATAGCAAAGAAAATTCACTAATCACCAAACGAAATGTAACATAAAACGAAGCCATCTGGTGGCGAAACGGACGGAGGAAACGGTTTGCTATAATTTATAATTTTAATACGAAAAATGACAAACTAGCATTACAGAACCACATACATTACAAAATCAATACCTACTAGCATTTTGATATAATTTATACGAACAAAAAAAGACCAATTATTATTATTAATTAACAAATTATACATATATTAAAATTACAAGTACATTTACAAACATACAAGTTCACATACACATGACACCCAGACCCGGAACAACTACTTGTGGATCACACAAAGAGTTACTCCGTGTGGGTATCAAACCAGAGACCGGTTGCAGTGCAGCCTACTGCATTGAATTTAACCTACTATATTTTTTTATTCCAGCAACGGGCATGGACTCTCCTTAACGAATACGCACATCCCAAACTTCGGCAATCAATTCAAAGCTGCTGGATATGCGAATCTATTCCGCAATCAGAACCATGATGTATCAGTTAACGCTTACTTCGCCAAAAACAGGCCTCAGTTGCCTCAAATTCCTAACTACAATACTGTTGGGGCTGGAGTGGACTATATGTTCAAGTAAGTATTCTATATATTTATTTAAAATTCTCTATAAATTACATTTTTAAATATTACTTAAAAAAAAAATTAAAAATATAAAAAATAGAAGCCGACCAGTAGCGGGAGCATGGTACAAGCTACCGGTGGTTAGGGCTCCAGAGACAGAAACCTCCTCACGATACGTGCCGTTTCTAGGAAAACTGCCTTCTGTACCAGGCCCTTGATCCATCCACCTAACACCAGCCTCCTAAGATGGATGTCGAGGCTTTTAGGGATTAACCCATTGGCCGACACGACTATCGGCACAATGATAGCCACACATTTAAGTATTCTTATTGTTAGCCATGTTTGGTCCTAGTATTTCTATATATTTTGATTTGAATACTAGCTTTATAATAGTCTTTTTTCTGCTTTTATCCGAAGTTACTTGGTGTTGATAATTATATAATACGTAACATAATATATCACCACGCCTTTTATCCCCGAAGGGGTTGACATTACGGCACTTAATGCCACTGTACAATGTAACACCCACTTCTCACTATTTATGTTAGTTCCATGTAATAGGGGGTGAGTCATATACCGGGCACAATTCCAGCCTTTGTGCTACTACTGAAATTTAAAAAAAAAACCAGTAAGACTTCTTTTGTGTCTTCTTTTTCCATTCTCCCTTATAAGATCTCATGCACCACAAACAAAACCACTGTTTCTTTCATACTCTATTCTTCTTTCATTTGGCAGATCTCTTTTATTAAAATTGGACAAATATCTTTTACATTCATCCCTCACCTCTTTCATCATTCCACGTTGTCCAGTCGCAGTAATCTTCCTTCGCCGGTTATATTACTAACTACAAAACTTTGGTATGTAGGTATAGATAGTATTATATTGTATGTATTGTTTTAATTATTATTGTACACTAGACGACCCCCTTTTTCCAACTCCTGATTACTGGCTCCATCCAAAGGTTGTCTGTAAGACATCGCATTCTGCGATAAGACCGCCCATTGAACACATTCTTTTTATAAATTACTAGCTACTTCCGCGCGGTTTCAAATGCTCTGCTCAACTCCTATTGGTCGTAGCGAGATGTTTTATAGCCTATAGCTATCCTCGATAAATGCGCTATCCAACACAAAAAGAATTATTCAAATCAGACTTGTAGTTACGGAGATTCGCGCGTTCAAACAAACAAACAAACTCTTCCGCTTTATATAATAGTATAAGATATAAGATTATGTTTTTGGCTTACTCACGTAATAATTTGACGAGGAACTCGACTAGTTTCAAGCCATGCTAGAGGCTCATATTCATGAGCAGCATTTCGCGAGTTCCTCGTCAAATTATTACGTGAGTAAGCCGAAAACATAATAATTTATTTAGTATGTCTCACGAAAGTTACAATACAATAGTTCTTTTTATGTTTATTTTTCTACTAGCTTTTACCCGCGGCTTCGTTCGCGTCACAAAAGGATAAAAAGTAGCCTATGTGACATATACAAATACATACAGCGCCATCTATACCAATACTTTTGTTTTCCCTCGGGAATATCAAATTTTTCCGGGATATAAGGAACCCTAATATTTAATGCAGACTTCTAACTTTACTTCTGCAAAAATTCAAAGCAATCGGTTTAGTAGTTACGGCGTAAAATCGGAACAAACAAACAAACTCACTTTCCGATTTATAATATTAGTAAGGATAAGGATGTATGTTTTTATGGTGTACAATAAAGTGTGTAAATAAATACAAAACTTGAATTACCATGCTTAATGTTCTTAACACAAAAGTTAACAAATAATTATCTCTACTCCACAGGAACAAAGTCGGAGGATCAGTAGGTATAGCTCACACACCATACTTTGACAAGACGGACTACTCGCTCAACGGTAATATCAACTTGTTCAGAAACAAAGGTTCGTCACTAGACTTCAACGCCGGTTTAAGCAAGTCTGTATCGCCATTTATGGAGAAATCAAGTTGGGAGCCGACCACTGGATTTACCTTAAGGAAAATATTTTAATTGAATTGCTTTAGATATTAATGACCTATTTCATAATGTCTGATGAAGTTGGTGTTAGTTCATAACAGAACATCATGCCTTTTATCCCCGAAGGTGTAGGCAAAGGCACTTAATGCCACTGTACAATGTAACACCCACTTTACACTACTCATGTTATGAGTCCAATGTAACAGAGAGTGAGCCTATTGCCATATACCGGGCACATTTCCAGACTCCGTGCTACTATTGAGATTTTTTTAAAAACCCTGTAAAACTTTGTCGGATCCGGGAATCGAATACGAGAACCTTTGCCCGGCAGTCGCACTTGCGACTAATTAGCCAACGAGGCAGTCTAAGTTTTTCGTGTGAGCTCATCTGACATATTTTATATGGACATTGTGTCAAACTAAGTGTTGGTTAGACTAACTGGAACTTAATCAGTCAATGTGAAAAAGACTCTGAATGTAGTAGAAATAGATTCAAAATTTGATCTTTCGTAAAAGACTGGCAGCATTGCCACCTTGTGAAGTATTATGGCCAAATATATTTATATTAATGTATTAAAAAGTGAAATTGTTTGCATTTGTAAATATTAGATTTAATTTAATAAGTAAATTAAATATGTTTAATTAAACATTGAGTCTTAATTAAATCCTTCCTAACATCTCCAATAATATGTAATTTGGCAGTATCAGAAATCGGACCTCAGATTTCGATCACTCAACACGAACTTTTCGCTATCGATAGACCAGCGAAAGACCAGCGAAAAATTGGTGTTTTGTGAGTTTGTTCGTTCTTTTCATAATACATGGAGTCCCATGGAAATCAGTTTCAGGATCAGTAGTTACCAGACCAACAAATGCAGGAATGAAAAAAAGATGTAAACGAAGAATAAATTGCATTTTTTAAGGCATAAGCCGGTAAACGAGCAGTCAGATCACCTGATGGTAAGTAATCGGCGTCGCCCATGTACACCTGGAACACAAGAGGCGTTACAGGTGCGTTACCGGCCTTTTGGGGATTAGGAGTTTGAGGATCGTTGGGGATTCAGGAATTGGGGAGATTGGGGAAGGGGAGGGTAATTGGGCCTCCGGTAACTTAACTCACACGACGAAATATAACGCAAGCGTTGCTTCACGTCGGTTTTTTGTTAGGCTTGCCAAGCATAAGTATCATACGTGAGCATAAGGAAATTTTATACAATATGATAATTTAACCCTATATCTTACCTATATCGTATAACTTGAAAAGTAGCCAGTCCATTTAATAACCATACGACAACCTCTAGCGAGATAGTAGCCAAACGTCACCCCATCAAATATACATTAAAAAATGTCCTAAAAGTCTATAATCTCAAAACAGAATACAATTTGTATTGAGCACCTCTTTACTTTGATGCCTATAAATACCGTATTTCTCGAATAAACATTGTCTTCAAATATTTTGTTGAATAAATCTTCTGTTTCGAACCCAATGGGCCGAGACTGCAATCATAACAGACGGTTGACAATATACAAGGATATATAGAAACTAGATACACCATTGACACGGATATTTTATATGGGTCAGAGGGACAAACGACGGATAGATTATCTGATCGCTTTTTATGGGATAAGCTGGTAAAGGAACTGACGGATCACCTGATGGTAGGTAAGCGGCGCCGACCAAGGACACCTGCACCTGTAGCCAAATACCATTTAGCGCTTGTCTACGTGTAGAATAGAAAACCAAATTATTTTTGACACTTGTCAGTGTCATCCCCATACATTTTGATTTCTACTCTCTCTGTAGACAAGCGCTAAAGTGGTATTTGGCTAAAGGCACTGGAATACTAGACGTGTTACAAGCGCGTCATCGGACTTTTGGGATTAGAAATTTGAGGATTGTTGGGGATTTAGGGATTGGGGTAGGGGAGAGAGTAATTAGGCCTCCGGTACTCCTCACTCATACGAGGAAACACAACGCAAGCGTTGTTTCACGTCAGTTTTCTGTTAGATTTGCCAATGGACATTTGTAACACCAGAAAAGTTCATGTGTGTTGTTAGCCTTTTCAGAAAGCGGCTCTCGTCATCATTATAGTTAGTCAGAATCCAACAAGTACAACTGAATGAATGAAATTATCTCCATGCTGTGATTACCAGAACGACTGTTAAACCCGGCTATAGATATAAGGTATTTAAACTTCTATTCTACTAGCTTTTATCCGCGGCTTCGCGCGTCACAAAAGGATAAAATCCAATGTGACATATACCAATACACACAGCGCCATCTATACCAATACTTTTGTTTTCTCTCGGGAAAATCAATTTTTTTCGGGACAAAAAGTACCCTATTATTTAATCCGGACTTCTAACTTTACGTCTGCAAAATTTCAAAGCAATCGGTTTAGTAGTAACGGCGTTAAAGTGGAACAAACAAACAAACAAACAAACTCACTTTCCGATTTATAGAGGTAATATTATTAAGGAATTAAGGATATTAAGGATATTAAGGATTAAGGAGTAAGGATTTTGAATATCAACAAATAGATGAATTAAAATAATATACATCTTACTCAGGTTTATGTACTATTCTAGAAATATACACCCTAGGGTCCATCTTCATGTGCAACGTCACGCAGCCAACTCAATCGTGAAATAGGTCCTGTCTCATCTAGTTACGAAACATCCATGTTAAAAGGAAACGAGCGAAGTTTTCGAAACATTATCAAGAGCTTTCAACGTCGGGAAATTGTCGTGAAAATTCGTACAGTTTGGAGCAATTCTCTTGCACTAGATAATAACTCGTGTAATACAAAGACAAAGGAGTTTTTGGTTGTAATATTTGTAACTAAATAGTCTTTTGTAATTATCTATTTTACTAACTTTTGGTCTTGATTTCGTCTTATACGTTTTAAATTAACTAAAAATTACGAGTTAATCACGTAAATATACTGAAAAAGAAACGCTCTATTAGTTTAGAGGGCCTCTTCTTCCTCATGAGCTACGTGCGAGTTTAAATGTGGGAGAGCCATGCTTCGGCACGGCACAAATGGGCCGGTTCGACCGGAGTGATACCACGGCCTCACAGAAAACCGACGTGATGCAACGCTTGCGTTGTGTTTCGTCGTGTGAGTGAGGTTACCGGAGGCCCAATTACCCTCCCCTTCCCCAATCTCTCCAATTCCTGAATCCCCAACGATCCTCAAAGTCCTAATCCGCAAAAGGCCGGTAACGCACTTGTAACGCCTCTGATGTTCCAGGTGTCCATGGGCGACGCCGATTGCTTACCATCAGGTGATCCGTGTGCTCGTTAACTGGCTTATGCCATAAAAAATGAAACCTTTATTGCAATAATAATCTTCTCTATTATTAGATATCAACACACCACAAACTTTTCGTTCTTTGAAATCATTCCTTATTCTAAACTGTTTTCTAAAAACCTCTATAAGCGATCCTCTATATTACTCTAAGGACTTTAATGGAAAATAGCTTTTACAACCAGTAGCTATAGTTATGAGTTTCTATCTACTACTTAGTCACCAATAACAGGAACAAAAGATACGAATTCGTAACTTTTCTGATGTTGCAGGTGTCCAGAGTTAGCATTAATCACGGATCGCTGGATGGTGAGCATCAAGCAAAACGCATTTCTTTTTTTAAAGTTGCCCTACACTAGAATTTTCACCTGTGTCGTGGGTACGTTTACAAACATACAAGTTCACATACACATTTTTTTCCTCATCTATTTAGTTGGGGGTTTTTATCCACATGAATATGACAAACACATTGTAACTTATACTCTATTTTCATAAAATTATTAAACACCTATTATTAACACCTATTGTACTCAAAACTATGCTTATGCATAGGCATATTCATAGCCATAGAACGTATAGACGTTCACATACAAATGACACCCAGACACGGAACAACAATTTGTGGATCACACAAAGAGTTGCTCCGTACGGGAATCAAGTAGGTACACGTTGCGCGACTGCCGGTTGTCCAGCCCCCGTACCAGCCGTGCAGCCTCATTACCTGACCATTACCTGAACGACTTATGATATGATATCATCTTATCCTCTTGTATGTTGAAAGTTGCGGGTATAATGTGTTTTATACCGGGAGCCGGTGTTTCAAAACATAAAAGTTTATAGGGCTACAAAAATACTACTACTAATATTACGCCACAAGGTACACCTACGGACTACTCACGAAATACATACCTAAATGCAAAAAATACTCGAACATTTTCACCGAAAACTTTTGCCGAATTAAAAGCCGAGGGTTACCGAAACGTAACGTATTGCCAGTGGTCGACGGAACTCTGGATTTTAAAAAAACATTTTCCCAGCACTAGTTTGAAAATATGACTGTTTCGTAAACATTATTACTGTCGATACTACATTAAAGTAAGCGAACCTTGATTTAGTGCTGTGGGACGGAAAAACGGGGACTATTCCGTTGAACAATCGACTATTATAAAATATTTTCATAACATAACACATAATATAACATCACGCCTTTTTATCCCTGAAGGGGTTTTTTTTTAAGGGGGGAAAATCATCGAATGACTGCTCCCGCCTGGGTGAGGCGGAAGGGAGTGTCAGACTCTTAACTACTGACTAAAACCACCCCGTTCCTTCTCCTGCACGTCGAGCCGGAGCCCCGGTTACCCGTTAGGTTCTCCGCGACATCCCTGAAGGGGTAGGCAGAGGTGCCCACAGAAATAAAACCCACTTTTCACTACTTATTTATGTTAAATCCCATGTAATAGGGGGTGAGCCTATTGCCATATACCGGACACATTTCCAGACTCCGTGCTACGACTGAGATTTTTTTTTAAAACCCAGTAATACTTTGCCCGACCCGGGAATCGAATCCGAGACCCCTTGTTCGGCAGTCGCACTTGCGACCACTCGGCAAGCGAGGCAGTCTAATAGTAGTAAAATATTTTCCTGTGATTTTATCTATATTTACAGTGTTTAGTATTGTTTTTTCATCCTAGTTTGAGTTTGTAGGTTTCAAGACAATTAATAT